AGCGTCTCGAACACCAGGCTGTCCACACACTTCTCCTTCAAGCCTGCAGGCAGGGGAAGGCTGAGGGTCCTGCTCACGCCCCACGATACTGCGAGACGGAGGGATGATGGGACAGCGATGGAGCCTCTCCTCCACACTGACCTTTGAGCGTCACGACGATGCTGGTCAGGCCCCGGCGGCACAGCGGCAGGCCCGGCGGGGCGTGCGAAACTCCGTTTGGTGCGTTGTTTGCTTTAGCCGTAGACAGACTCGGTGCTGAGCCCCAGCGTGGAAGCAGGATCCATCTTGGCGATGTAATCCTAGAAGGAGGACAGGACTGTCAGTGACCGAGGGCTGGCAGGGAGCAAGTGGTGACCAGCAGCCCCAGGAGACCCTGATGAGGACGTGGGCCAAGGAGCATCAGGCATGGTGGAGCAGTATAGAAGAACGGCTCTCAAAAGCAGGGTCCTCATGTTCCTACCTTGAAGACCTGGCAGACAGCCTCATCTAGCGTCTTCCAGTCCACCTTCCCGCTCACCTTGGTCCAACCCAGGAAAAAATGAGGTCCTAGGAGGCAAGGCAGAGGTGTGCAGGTTGGAGCACTGTATCCAGCCCTGGACAGGCGTCCTCTGCCCCTCGCCAAGGGCCACAGCACTGGCACAGGTCAGGCTCCCCATACAGTCCATACTCACCCCCTTGATGATGTGCTGAGGTGGCATGCGCACCACAATCCGCAGTGTCAGCTCGTCCTTCTGGGTCCCAGCACTGACAGCATCCATGGGGGACACATCTGGGGATGGAGCAGTGAGTCTGTGCTGGCACGGAGAGCCCAGCCGCTGGGCCTGCCCGTGCCCAGCCGGAGCCAAATCTTGCTGTGGCTGATCGTGGCACCAGCGGCACAACAGATCCCTGTGCACAGCTGCCTCCAGGCGAGGAGCACCACGTTCCCACCAGCTGCCTCCTCCCAGATGTCTGGGCTGTACGTCACCCACCACACAAACGTCTCTACCCCAGTCCCTCCCCGTTTGCCAGCAGCTCCATCACCCCCACCTGCGTCCCCCGGGCTGGGGCTGAAGGCATGGCCAAGGGTGAGACCCAGGGAGCGCCGCGGCGAAGAGGAGGCCGACGTGCTCGTGATGTGGCCGGGAACAGAGCCCAGCACTGCCGAGGGCCCCGGAGCCACTTTGAGCCGGTCGTTTTCAGCCTTCAGGAGATCCACCTCCAGCTGGGGGAGAACCAGTTACAGCACAAGGTGAGAAGCTGGACACCAGCAGCGCTCCAGGGCTGCAGCACGGTTCTGGGGGCGCAGGGACTGCGGCCACCAGGTCCTCGGAGCCAGCCAGGCTCCTGGCAGTGGTCCTCACCTGCATGTTGTGCATGGTCTCCCGCAGCTGCTCCAGCTGGTGGGCAGAGTTGAGGGCCTCCAGGCGGATGTCTGTCAGCTTCATCTCCTTCTCCCACAGCTCTGACCGTAGCTCCGACACCTCCTTCTTCTCCGGCTCGCCCTCACCGTGAGCCTGGAAGAGCCTTGGCCAAGGGAGACACTGAGTCTTGCATGTGTCCAGGGCAGGAGCCTGCAGCCCCCACGACTCGCCCTCCCCACCCTGTGCCACCCACTCTGGCCCCACATACTCAGCCGTGTCAATGCCCACGGAGGAGGACGTGGAGGATTTGATGGAGGGCGAGGCAGTCTCCGTGGAGCCGTGCTGCAGCTTGGGGGAGGAGGGGGCCGACGAGTCTGGCGTGGCGATCTCCTCAATATCTGAGTAGGACGACGCTGACTTGGGTCCCTTCTTGATGCTGAAGGCCTTGTTGAAGGAGCTGCGAAGCTATGGGAGACACAAACGCTCGTTAGGGACGGCCGGACAGCGCAGCCTTGCAAGCAGGGACCTGCCCTGGTCCTGCCCCGGGGTTCCCACCTGCCCAGAACCCACAGCCCGAGCTGGGACCAGTAACACCACAGCCATCACCGAGGCAGGACTGTGCCCTACCACTGCCCCAGGGAAGGCACTGGCTTGACCCCGCTCTGCCGGCACAGCTGCGGACGGGGGTGCACAGCCCTTCGTGCAACATTCCAGCCCCAGCCCAGATGGCACCCAACAGCCCCACAGAGTGGGACCCACGTCCTGGTCAGGCTCCCCTCAGTCCTGTTCCCCACCAGCACCCAGATCGGGGTGCTCAGGCACTGCACCAGCTCCCTGGTCCATCAGGAAGGGCCAACTCCATCCTCACATTCACCCCACCACAACCATCTCAGCAAGTGACATTTTGGGGGACATCCCCCACCCCCTCAGCCACCACAGAGCCAGGGTCCTGGAGCAAGGGGACAATTTCAGCCCCACTGTGCCCTGCAGGTTGCTCCTGGAAGTAGGACTGAAACGTCACCAGGGGTCCCAGCCAGGCATGCAGCATGCACACAGCACACAGAGCAGCGGGTGGGTGGGCAGCGTGCCGACGCCAGGGAGGGCGGATGAACACTGCGCAGGGGCCAAACCGGGCCGTGGGTCCCGCTTATGCGCCACCATCCTGCAGGAGAGCAGCAGGATGGACACCCTGGGCTCAGGCCATACCCCCTGGAGGACCAGAGCCTGCTCTGTGGGGAGGCGGGAGGAAGAAGGGCACGGAGAACGGGCAGGCTCAGGCCCAGCTTCCACAGGCACCACGCAGGCTGGTCTGGGGTGTCCCCAAAAGGCAAAATCATTGCATTTCAGCATAAAAAAAAACAGGTGGGTGTCAGGCTCTGCTGATGGCAGAGGAGCACTGGGACCCACATGGGCCCCAATAGGAACACAGCCACTCGGGGCCATACCAGGCCAGCCCTGGCAATGCAGAGATGGGCAGCACCGCACCCTGGTGCCGCAGGCAGGGCTGCAGAGAGATCCTCATCCCAAAAGATCTGGCTACAGGGAGTGCCTTCCCAGGCAAGAAGGGGACTGTCCCTATCCATGGGACACGTCCCTGTCCGAGCTGTTCCTGCTGCCTCAGTGCTGCCCAGGGCAGTTCAGCCCCTCCATGTGGGTGCACATTTTGGTCTTGACATCAAAGGAAGCAGCCAAGGTGCGTGCAGCCTGGCTGGGAGCCCCGGGATGGCCCGTGCTGGGGGTTAGTGCCGGTGGGATGGATGGGATGGGTAGTGCTGTGACACCGTCCCGCAAAATGGAGCGAGGGCCCTGGCTGGGCACGGCATGGGGTGGAGGGGACGGCGTAGGACTTACCTCGTACACCTGGAAAAAAAGGGTTGAGGTCAGCATAGGGGGAGAGAAACAAAACAAAGCAAGACTTAATCACGCATCCAGCTCGGAGCCGCCTGGCACAGGGAAGGGACTGCCTGACCAAGGCGTCCGGTCCCCTGCACTGCCAGAGCCTGAGTGGGCAGAAGGGAGACACGTGGGGAAAAAACAACGGAGCAAGCATGCAGGACCAGGGCTGGAAAACTCCCAAAGGGGCTGGAGAAGTCCCGGCTGACATGTCAAGACATAAATCCATGGTGGCTACACACTCTTCACCAGTGCTGTCCCCAGGGGACAGAGAGGACCAACACCATGATGCCAAGGTAGACCAAGAGCAGTCGGCTCACGGGGCTGACGCTGGGCAGACGCTGCC